TTCTTGGAAACAAACACACCCTATATTTATAAAATAATGATCGAGTGTTTGGCTGTTTGACCATACAGTGTAATGAGACATTTCAAGCGCTATGCATTTTGTACCTGTACCTATTGAGCTGTGAATGATATGTTTCTCTGAAACCTTAGTGACATAATGCAGTGGAAACGAGAGCATATTTATTTTTGCATGTGACAGTAGCTGTGAAGCTGTTGAAAGGACTAAAGAAAATATCAATGCTGCTAATTTGGCATCAGCCAAACATCGGTTCAACCTGTTCCAATGTGATTTTTCTTCAAGCAATTTTCCTCAGTGGCTGATCTGTAATTCTTGCCGGGAAAATTCCATATCCAAACGATGTGATTGGCCTTCAGGTTCTTCTTTTGGATCATTTGAAAAAATGTGCATGGGTTATTATCAATTATTCTCTTTTTCATAATAACTGTTGTTTGGTTGAAACATTTTATGTCACAATATCTGGCATTTTATAAACCCAAGAGAGCATTTGGTGCCAGTTTTAATTTTTATCCTTTTTCGTTTTGATTCTCAATTAACGTAAAGTCTAATAGTTCCAAGAGGCTATTAGTTAGGGGTAATTCAGGTATAGTCCTACAGAGTACGTTTTTTGCAATATTCTTTGATATCTAAGGTGGTTCTGAAAAACATAAGATATTTTTGAAAGGATAGGAGTATTTCATTTGTGTTATATACATGCTCCATTGAGAGTGTTTTGGTAAGGGGTTTTCCTGGGGAGATTTTTAAAGGGCTTAGTGTATATATCTGTAAAAAGAATGTTTCTGAATATGGATAAAAGGTTATTGAAGTGTTATATGATCACATATGAGATCTCAAGTATATATCAAGATTAAGACTAACCCTCCTAAATTTCCCTTCCAAACACCCCAAAACTGTCAATCCAAGCATACCTTAATTTTAAAAGCAGGGGCCCATAATCATTTTTACATTTTTTTCTTGTGCAGATTCAAATAGTGACAGCAAGAGATTTTCCCCAGATCCGCAGTGCTTCGTGGGAAATTCGTGTTGCATTGGTGGTGTAGATTTTCTTACTTTAGTATGTGCAATTTCAGTTTACATTTCAAATAAGAGAGGATTTGGATGGAAGGGCTTAGTCTATAACTTGATGAATGGAATATTTCTAGAAACAAATAAAAGATATTTACAATGCTATATACGATTGCATATTATGTTAATCTTTCAACTCATTACAATACTAAATAAATATCAAGATATAGGCTAACATATCCAAATCATTCCCCTCCAAAACCCTCCATTTAAACAGACCCTAATGGAAGTGCAAGTTAATTGATTATTTCAATCTACATGCTAACATGCAGATATTTACTTTATCGGCCCTGCCATTACATAGGATGCAAATAGCAATCCGTGAGTGTTTTTATGCTCTGAGGCCGGGAGGGTTGCTGTTATTCAGGGATTATGGTAATTGCTTGACATATTGAAGAATAAATTCTTTCTAAGCGTCTGTTTGGAACTAGGAAAATACTAGGGATAAAAACAGGAAGAAACACGTGCAGGAAAAGTGGAAGGGCAGAAATGTTAGGGAACATAAAAGACAGTCTTAGAAGCTCTAAATTTATTTAGATACTTGATACTCATTATATTTATTTGTGTGTATTATACGGAGTATAAAGATTTAAAAAATTGTAATATACGGAGTATGTCAAAAAATAAAAGCTAATCCTTTATCATTTTGTTTGCATTTTCTAAGACAAAAACAAACATAATAAAAACAACTTTTCTTGACATTTTATCTCCCCACCATTATCCCTGACCGAAACTATCAGTTTGTTAGTTTTCCTGGACAATCTGAAGAACTTGGAAGTGCTATGAATACAGGCCTCTATGATATGACCATGCTCCGGTTTGAGCAAGAACAAAGAGTAGGATTCAGGGAATATTTACGGTCTGATGGAACACGGTCTTATTTCTTCTGTCTGGACAGTGTCAGGGATTTATTTTGCAGTGTAGGCTTCATCAAGGTAAAACTTTATTGACTTGAATACTCAATAGAAAATTTGCATTAATGAGTTACATTGTTAGTAATCATATACTACGTATAAAAATAGTTGGTTCTGCACCACCTATTGAATATGTCAATATACAAATGTGATCTTTTCATTTCACCTTAGATGTTTCAAATTTTGGCAGATTTGCTTTGTACATGTGATTAGTTACTCCCTATCACAATATTCGTTATACTCTGTCATAATTATACTCTCTAAGCAGTATCTCTGTGGTATTACAATTTTTTAATTAATGACTTTTTTTGCAAGTTCCCTATTAGTAATTTAGTATTTTACCCTTGCATTTAAGTGAATATAGACCGTACATCCCACTGTAGTGAATTCTGTCACAAACTTTACTACGGAGTATCTCTTTATTTTCATGTCACATCCGTTTTCTTTTAATAACCTTACTCCAAACTTGATTTTGTTAAATTGAGAAATGCGAGAAGCATTTTAAGCATAAAAAGAAAAGTTAGCTTTTTTAATTTTCTTTTAGATGTTTAAAATTTATTTAATAAATTTATCATGTTACAACTAAGGTGCCTTGAAGAAGGTTTTAAGGGAGGAGTAAGGTTTTAAAAGAAAGTGAAATGTGGAGTGCAAATTAATAAACAATAGTAGGTCGAGTTTATGAGGGAATTTGCTAAATTTGGATGCGTTGCTAAATTTTCAAACTTTAACTGACGACAATAAACGTGAACTGTGCAATTCACTTTTAACTGTTATTTTGAGCGAAAAAAAATAACCGGGTGTTAATCTGTACAGATTGAGCTCGAGTATTGTTGTGTTAAGACACTGAATCGACGGAATGGTAAGACCATGAAGAGAGTGTGGGTTCATGGGAAGTTTCAAAGGCCATAATTCGGATTCTTATTCTGATGCACTTCAGCCATCAATGTTGTAGTAAAACTGAAGTTGTATGGTCTAAGAAGGCAATAAGTTTAGGTGAATATTTACTTCTTCCTAGCTGCGTCCCACAAATAACTTCTCTTTTAACTTGGTACGAGAAGTTATTGTGTGAACGGAAATTTTGCAAAGAGAAATTAAGTCAACCATATATACTGGAGTATATTCTACTGTGTATATTGAGCCGGACAAATAAAGGATGGCAAAGAGATCTGAATTTTTACCATTCGTTACAAATGTATTTCAAGAACGTCTCTGTAGCCCTTTTTTGTTAAGAAGGTGATACTAATATTAGCACCACCCTTCCATAGCTTTAGATAAGCAATACTTAATCTGTTAATCGGTTACAGTTAGCCCATTTTTTGTTTGGGTTGCATTTTTTTTCTGACATGAGCATTATTGTGTGTAATCCCAACATCCTAGCAGACAAGCCCAGCATTGTATTTTTACTCCACTTTTGCTTAACCAGAATATGGAAGAAATTAGAATGAGAAAACTGTCAAATAGGTCCCCGAACTTTCATAAAAAGGTCAATTAGGTCCTTCTATAGGAGGTTCTGTCCGGCCGTCGCGATTTGGGGCAGTTCCCGGTGGAATTTTTTGATGAAATTGTTTGAGCATCTTATCCAGCAAGTCTAGTTTACGCATAACAAATTTCAGCTAAAAAATTATTAAGGTTTTTAATATGCTATATTGTATGAACTATTAAGGTTTTAAAACTGCTCAAAGTAGGATGAAAATACAAAAGAAATCTAAAAAGTGCTTTCCAGACAGGACTTCTTTAATCCTAACTAGGTGTACATGAGTCATATTTTTGAATGTAAATAATGACATTCTTATTGAAGATTTTTTCTTTAGAGTTTTAGTTATGTTCTTTCATTTATATTCAATATTTGAATGGATTTTTAATACCTATTTGTATTTATTTTATTTTGTATCAGATAAAAAATCATTACTCAAATGGTGTTTTCTGGTATGCTCACGCACTGACGCACCCAACGCATTATACACATCTTTGCCACAATCATCTTTTGAATATGACATTGTTTTACTTCTCAACATTATAAAATGTAATCTTCGGTCTAGCCGTCATAAAATTTACCCGTCATGGGTCATCCGAGAAATCATCTCTATGTGCTTTAGTACTGGGGTGAGGTTGCGCATACCTGACCCCCTTACCCTACTATAGGTGGAAGCCTTTGCGGCACTGGGGTAATATTGTTGTTGTTGTCTTTGCCCCGAAAATATAATTTCTTTTTCATCAGATTTAACAATGAAGAACAAAACTCTAGACATCAAGGACTGTAAATGAATTCATTGATGAGTATGATGACTATTTGAATTCAAAAAACTCAAATAAGAATACAAATAAGAATAGCAATTTAGATTCGAATAATTACCAAGTGTAAACATGATTATTGATGTACGATTTCTAGAATAATATACTTATAATAGGAATACAAATAAGAATAGTATTTGCGACTTGAATATTTAGCAAATATGAATATTGAAATATTGGATTCGAAGAATAATACATATAACAATAAGAACAAGAAATAATAATATAATAATAAAAGTAATATAAGTAATAATATCAAGAACATTACAAGTAACAGTACTAACAATAATACATATAGATGCTAGATTATTAATTAATTAGTTGTGAGACTGTTTGGATAACAGTTGCTTGCCCCAAAATGCTATTTTTTTTCAAGTTCAACTCATATATAATTTGCACTACTAAATATAAATATAAATTTATAATACATTCTAAAACCTATCATTCCATTTTTGGTTTATTGCTTCTCATATTTTAGTAATCTAGTCATTATTTCTAATTGGTTTATAGTCCATACGTTTCTTAACTCTAGATTTCTAACATATTTTCATGCATAACACCTATTGGATACTTTAAAAAAAAACCACCTATTGAATGTCATCTTTGAAAAAAATCCACTAAAAACAAGAAAAAAATGTGATCCTTCATTAGGGCCGGCCCAAGGAAGAGGCAAGCAGTTCCATCGCACAGGGCTCAATAAATCGAAGGCCCAAAAAAATAAAAAGTTAGTAGTAGGATTAAGCGGTTAAGCGACAAAGCGTACAAAGCGGTTAAGCAACGGCGGCAAGCAAGTCTGCATCGCCGACCTCTCAGGGCCAGTCGACCGCCGTCTAGGGACTAGGTCCGCCAGCCGCCACCGAAGTCCGCACCAGCCACCAGTGCAGCAAGAGTACTCTACTGTCTACGGCCTCTGCTCACTGCCCCTGAAGCTGTGAAGCAGGTAAGCTTATCTATTTTAATTTCTAAACGTAGTATAATATTAATTTTTTTTAATTTTTTTGGAGTATTGTTTATTAATCTTTTTCATTATTATGTGATATGGTAATTGAGTTTCTGATTTTAATTACTTATAAAGGCCATTAGGGCTTAGGCCTACTAATCTATGATGAAATTTAACAAATTAGGTTGTTATTTTTTATTTTGTGTAATTAATTGATGAATGTATTAAACTATTTATATTTAATAAATTGGTAGTATAAGTATGTTATTACTTACTACATATTACTTTTTTGGTTGTCGGTTTAAAGACATTAAATCAAAATTTAATTAATTTTTAACTTAAATTTGTAAACATGTACAAGATTATCATAATTGTTTTTGTTCTATTTCTACTTTTGAAAGGAAGGCTCAAATTTTGTTGTTCCACAAAGTCTCTATTTTCTTAGGATCGGCCCTCCTACAATACTTGAATATTCTAATTATTCAATATTTAATTAATCATATATACGGTATTTATATACTATGTATAATATACTATCGTATAATATAATTATGAAAAGTATAATTATGAAACAATAAATAATGATATATTCAGTGGCGGACACAGGGGGTGACAAAGGGGGGCTGCTGCCCCTCGAAAAAAAAATTCTAGGTATATTTACCCCTAAATTTTAATATATATATATATTTGTATGTATATTTTTGTACTGCCGCCCCTCCTACCAGAAATTCCTGCGTCCGCCGCTGGATATATTCAAATATGAAAATATTCAAATCGGATATTCGAATATTTGAACCAATTTAATGTGAATGTGTTTTTAAATTCAAATTTTAATTGAATACAAATTAAATGGAATAGAAATTTAATGTGAATGAGATATTTGTTCCTTTACAAACCTAGATGGAGGTAGGGGTGATTTGGTATGGTGTACCGGATATTTTATCATACCTTTACCGTACCGAAAGTTTCGGTATACAAAAATTACACACCGTTATCTTACCAAAATTACGGTATACCGTGTTTCGGTGTTACTAGCGACATACTTAATCCATTATTAAAAAATTAAAACATATAAATAATAACCTATTCATGTCCTATTCAATATTATTAGTATATTTAAGCAAATAAATGTGCCACATATCAAAAATAACACATTCTCTTGAAAATTACTTGAGCAATAGAGATACAATTAAATCAATAGTGGTCTCTAATTAGAAATAAAAATTAATCAAACAACATGTATATAAAATCTTTTATCCCTAAGATAATGTTGTGTAACTAGTCATTTTTATACTTTTAAAGAATTTATTTGAATAGAAATTTCAGTATAATGGTATATCGGTATACCTTTTATTTTCAAAATATATACCGATACCATACCGAAGTAATTCGGTACGGTACCATACCGTACCGAAAATGTAGATATACCTAAATTTTTGGTAAATTCGGAATTTTTCGATATGGTAAATGTGGTATACCTAAGTTTAGTATTTTTCTCAAGCGGCTCTGCTCGGCGCGCCACCAAACTTGCTCTGGGCACCATATTTTCGTCAAAGTTGGACAAGTATGTCCTTAGTCACGCAGTCCGCTACTTCTAAAGGTGCTATGCACACCACTTACTTTTCCTTATTAATTAAAGTCAGTAACATATGTGGAGTACGTAATTACGGAGCTAGGCGATCCATTCATTCTTCCTATTGATGTTTGTAATGGGCCTTATTGTTTCTTTAAATAAAAATAGGTCTTCATATTTCCTAAAATTGTTGTGTCACGTATTTCTAAAAATAACGTAACTATCATAAAAATTACTCAATTTCCTAATGTAATTAAGATTACACTTTCCAACTACCATCAAAGAAGTACTAAATAAATATTTGAAATAGGGGTCGGCACGGTCCCTCGGCCCGGATTATTGATAAATTTTCAAAAATCATCAGTTCTATTTAACGGGTAGGTTTGGTCCGGGTATATTGATAGGCTCGTTCCGTTCCTATCTTTCACTCATATTTTGGGTGTTAATCGTCTAATTTTTATAATTAATCGGGTGACTATTGGGGGTTTTGAATGAAAATTTGTTATTTTTCGGTCCCGATGGCATTCATTTCCAGTTTAGTAGTTTTTTCACACAATTTGATATTTTTGGAGTAATTTGATTGTAAAATTGCATATTATTAGCGGGTGTAGTGAGTTGTGATTTTACAGACTGAAGTTTGCGGTGAATTATTTGGGCTAGATCATTTGAGTGTTGTATTAAAAGTTAAGTGCAGCCAAAAAAGAAAAGAGAAAAAAAGAACAAACAGCCCAAAGAAAAAAAGCTGCAGCAGTTTCTTCATCCACTTTAGCAGCCCAAAAGAAAAAGATAAACGGATCAGCTGGGGTTTTTCCCGTGGAACGAGCAGCAGCACGAAAGGGGGATCTATTATTTTCTTTCTCTTCAGAATTAGCCAGTAGGAGCTCATATTTTTTTCTCTGTTCGTAGAAAGGCAGCCGCACCAGGTTTTCTTCTCTGTTCATTTTAGTTAGAAGCAGTCGCAGGGAAGGAATCCTTTCTGTTCCTTGTCACTTAGCCACAACAAGTATTTCTTTTCTTCTTTTGGAATTAGCCGTAGCAGCAAGAAAGAACCAATGAGGTTCCTCAACTTCACTTTTCTTCAATTTCTTTCAATTCAATTTAGATTTCCAAGTGATGATTGTAAGTTTCAGCATATTTTACATTACCAATTCTTGAATTTGGATTGATTTCAAGTTTCCTTATCTCCAATTAGTAAATTCAGTTTTCGTCCAATTTAATACTCATAGTTCAGTTTTTATTTCTAGCTGCTTATCATGTTTATTAATATTATTGTGATGTCAGTTTTAAGTATGAGTAGCTAATTCCATATAGGGTTTGGATTGGGGCTAGGGTTCATGGGTTCTTGAAGGTGTGAATTTAGTTTTTGAAATTTAATTAATTTTCTGGAAATTTGTATGGGATTAATTATAATTGTCTATATGAATTTGATCACCTCATATATGAATGTTTGGATTTAATTCAGTTCTTGTCTATGAGAAATTGAGTTAAATTAGCTCGAATCTTATACTACAAGCAATCTGATCTTAGAAATAAGTTAAGATTGTGATACTTTGATTTGATTCTTGTCTATGAGAACTTATTTCATTTTCTTTCCAGGAATAATTGAAAATTAATTAACTTAATTCTAATCCCGAAAGAACACCCAGAACCCGAACCATCCAATTCGAACCCTGTTTTAATATCTAGAATCAGTTTAATTTTTTTTACTCTATTTATTTTTTGCACTTGTTATTAATTAGTTTTATTTTCAAACCACTCAAAAAAAAATATTTGAAAAGATTACCATGACTTGTGCTAGCCTGTGATCACGGACTATATTTAAAACTTCCTTTTTGCCACTCTTTGAGAGACGATACTCGTGGTCTGGTTATTCTTCAGATTAGCCAACTACGTTTTACTCACTAAAAAAAATACACCGATCATATATCAAGTCTTGAAATAGGAATCAAACTTTACCCGCCCCGTTTGAAACAAATCGGATCGGGTTCTAGGTTCTTAAAAAAGGTAGCTTCTATGGACCCATAAGGTACCATACCTTCCCCCACATAGACCAATGAGAATGTTGCAGTTCAATTATTTAAATTTAAATTAAAAATGATATAATGATTTGGTCCAATCAAGTGAATGGTAGGTATGCGGTACCCATTTAAAAAATGGGGTACCAAAGTTGTCACCATTAAAAAATACCGCTACACTAAGGATGTTTTCTTTTGGACTGTTTTCAGTCACAGATCAGACCAAACCAGACCAAATCAGACCAGACATGATTTCCGTAGTTATAAAATACACAGAGACCAGACCAAACCAGTTCAAACCAGATCAGACCAGCAAATTTCAGTCCAAAAAAAACATCCTAACAATTCAAAATAAATATATAAAAGAAAGTTTTGAGTTAGCTAACAAAATATCTAAGCCACACATGTCTAAATTAAATAGCATACAACTACACAAATTAAATAACACCAAACTTTGAAATGTAAAAAAAAAAGACATCATCATTCATAAACTAAAAAGATAGCATCACAAAGCCATAAGAAATTAGACTAGTCAATATACTTATATATTTAAGAAAACAATTTAAAGCTTGATTTATCGACCATTCATGAGACTTGACCTTTTAAAAAAATATTACATATATAATATTGTTGTCATATGAAAGATCATAAAAATTACTCCGTATTTAATTTGATGGAATTATTATAAAAATTGGAACAAAAATGAAAAAGTTAAACGGAGTAAAATTTTATAAAAAAAGGAATTATTTACCACACGACAACATATTATTGCATGGAGATTGAATGTAAAATTGACATGGAGCAAGCCGTGTGATCCTACGAGAACCAAACAACAATTTTATTAATTAAGAAAGTCAAAATTGTCATGTTATGGTTACAAGTATGAATAGGGTGCACAAAAAAATGTTAGGAAAAAACATCTTGACTAATACCGAATATAAAACATCTTGAATAAAAAATGATGTTTTTATATTTGGGTTTAAAAAAACATAAAAATTAATATTGACTAATCTTGGAGAGGAGAAAGTCGTGATTGATTACTAGGTAGCTATGACATTTATAGGGGTGTCAAATTTAAAATTGTTGTTCGAAATTAATTTGAAAGTGATTGAAATTCAATACGGCTTCCGTTAGCAAGTTTAAAAGGATAAATCAGTCTCTCTATGGTTACATTTAGTAATTTTGGGGGTGCGCCTAGCAACCCCTTTCTCAAGGGTAGTTGGAAGACTCGCCGTAAGGGTTCTTTATAAATTGCAAGGCAGAATGCATAAACCCTGAATTCGACGATAAACCCTGAATTCGACGATGGAGTCTTTGCCGGGGCTTAAAGAGTCAAACTTTAACGACGCCGGCAAACATACATTGCATGACTTGAAGTTGGTGCCATGGTTAAACTGGGAAGAGTGGAGCATCATTGCAGATTCCCTTTTCTCTTCTTCTCCGCTTTCGGTCGATTCTTCTCTTCTGAGGGTAAGGGAGTTTTTTTAGCATTCTTTAAATTCTTTTTACTTTATTTGATAAAACAGTTAGCTGTAACTTTTACTACTGAGTAATTTTGATAAATATGGATTTGAATTTGTAGATTTCGACTTGGAGGAACAGAGGGTGCATTCCGGTAGCCATCGATGTTACAGCTTCTATCATCGAAATTCAGCAAAAAGATCCGTTTTTCAGGTTATCCATGATGAACAATGATGAAGTGTGATTACAAATAGGTATCCATTATTAATTACTAGTTTTTGTTCATTGTAGAGATAATGTACCTAAAGGTGCTCAGCTGTCAGAAGAAATTCTGACTATGCTATATTCTATGGCAATTACCAGGTATTTGTTTGTGATTTTTCCCTTGACAAAAATTTCACATCTGATTTCCCTCAAGCATTAAGTGTCGTTTCCCCCGTTTTATCATCATATAAAATATATAATGACAAAAGTCACACCTTTAAGATGGTCCAGATGTGAACCTGTGATCCCTTAGTTTTGAAATCTTTTGTTTTGCTTTAGCTCCTGAAGAAAACCATTTACAATCTTAAATTTTCAACATATCAGTTGTCCATCACTGGGAGTTTCTTAAAATTTTAATTTTTGAAACTTTAACAAATTGAAATACTTAGCTGGAGTGATTTTTAAGTTTTAACCTTCGTTTTATGCTGCAATGCTTATTGGTTAATGACCTGACTACTTTCAATTTTGGGGTTCCCTTTAGGCAAGAAACCTGAGTTTGTGCTTCTGGTATTGTGTTTTTTGTGTTCCATCTAATATAATGATATCTTGGTCTGAGAACTTCGATGCGTATCAATTTCTGTATTAAATATGGTGTTATTATTCAAGGTTTGTAAATGGAGTTATTGAGAAGAATCGAAAGAAAAACGAGATTTCAATAGCTGATGCAGCTGATGCAATTGGCATCCCTCGTATGCTGATTGATGTTCGTCATGGTCTGTTTACACTAATCTAATGTGCTAGTGTACACTTTTACACTTTGTTTCCTAATTAATTTCTGAGACGAGCAAAATTTGGACTTTTATACATTTTCCCACTTTGTTCCTGTTTTTTATCTGACATGTGTTAAATTTGCTTATTTGACTACGTCATAAACTTCAGAGGGTTCTCATCGTGATCTTCCTTCACTTAAATTGGCTCGCCTTGCCTCAACAAAGGTATCCTTATTTCCCATGTTAATCATTTATTCATTCCTTACTCATCATCAATTGATTCATCATTCATTACTCACGTCTTATATCTACAAGCATACTGTTAGGTGTTTGACCAATGGTGGTTAGCATTCTTGCATTGAATTGGTGTGCGATAATAATGTAATATCATACGTAGTATGTACTTTGTGAACCATCATACCTTATTTTGTTTTAGTCTTGAGCTAGATATAAGTAACTCTTATGTTATGACCAACATAGTAAATACTGTTCTTTCTAGAGCAATACAGTTCCATGAAGCAGATTACTATCTAAGTAGCATAGGGACATAAACGGAAATAAATGCGGGGAGTGCCGGGGACAAAAACCGGGATGGAGAGATAGGGACGTGGAAACTCCAATTTCAAAATATCATGGGCAATGACATGGAAACGTCAAACTAAAAATAATTATTTTTTACTAATAAAAGCAAATAACCATGATTTGAGAACATGTTTGCATAAAAAAATCAAATAAATAAACCATACATGTACCAATGTTATGATCCATTCTACAGGCATAATAAGTAAAATGACAAAAGTAAATAGTATATTCAGTGATAAACACACTCTTGGATTGTGGCTCATCTAGAAATAAATTAGCAATCTTCAAATAGTCCATTTCATCCAAATTACCAAATTCATCACCTCCAACGTCCCACATCTCGGCCTTCTTTTAGTGTATTGCTTAGAACTCCTTTACAAAAGTTAAAGGTTGTTGGGTATAAACACCATGCCCTTTGCAACTTTAGGAATTAACTTGTTATGTCTAAGTGAATCAATAAATGAGTAACTGCTCCATTTACGTGCACATGAAGATGAAGATGTAGATCGGCCAAGAACTCTAAAAGCAAGAGATTGAAGGATTGGTGTTTGAGCACTGAAGTTAGCCAAGAAGAAGCAAATTCATTCAAAATCATATCATTATTACCACCACTTGGAAAGTTCCTTCAAAACGTTAAATCATCTCTTCGGAGATCTCACCATTTCCATGAGGGATCCTAGCGGGATCCGCATCAAGCCAAACTTTACTATAAAACCCATTCAACAAAGGACTACCCATTGAATGGGCTAGGTAATGAAGCAATGTCGAACTCTTTCCCCAACATGCCACAAGAATGTCATATACTACGTTGAACAAAGTATTATATAAATCAAGACACTTTTCTTCATGCTTATATAACAATTTTGACTTTTCCAATCATCGATTCCGACATCTCATACACCAAATGGAGACACGCCCTATCAGCATCATATGCTCGAATTATATTGTGGATATGATATGAGAAAGCAAGAATGTAATTTAATTGGATCCCACCAATACTTCCTCAAAACCTTCTCCCTCACAACCTTGCTTTGCCCTGGTTATCTTCATGGCATGATGCCTGCTCATTATTGAACACCATAGTATGAAGACAATGCCTAGTAAGCGTGGCAATTATAGAAGCAAAGCGGGTGTCTATCACATAAAACAATTTAAGGGACATGAATTTTTTAAACATTGACAACATTATTGTATGATTCATGATGAATTTTTTATTTGGGAAGCATCGCCATGAATTTAAAGTATAAACAACACACGGTGTCCAATAGATGTGGAGATACATACCTTCAATTATTTCTCTTGAACCCTTACAATTGAAAACATTATTAGTGATAATCTGAACCACATTTTGATGACCTATCTCATCAATCACTTCTTTCATCAAATTAACAATGAATTCTTTTGATTTAACTTCATCCATACAATTCACAACTTTAAGAAACACATGACCACTTCTTGAAGTTGCCAGAAGACGTCGATGTTGAAGAAGTATCTTTATGATCATCTAAGAGTCCCACTTCTCAACCGAGTTCTGGGACAACTATCAAAAGAAAGAATGCAGTTTTACAATTCTTTGATGTTCAACCAAAAATGTCAAAGCAAAACAAGTTAGTTGCTTCCATCATTCGCAAAACTCTTGAAGATATTGTTGATAAAAGACATGCAAAAGACTTCACGCAAAGTACGCTAGAACATTGTACAAAGAGCAAGAAGGAGAAAGAGAGGATCTTTATGCACAAAGTTGATTTTTCTTTTTTTGAAAATGACACTCCTTTCAATGCAGTAAACTCTTAGAGCTTTAAGATTATGGTGGAGTCAATTGTGAAATTTAGACCGAGACTTAAACCGCCTAATTATCACGAGTTACATGTTTCTCTTTTTAAAAATACAAAGAGATCGAGAAACTGAGAAAGAAACATGAGATTGTTCGGAAGGAATACATGTGCACACTTAGGTCTGATGGATAGACTGAACAAAGGAACTGACATTTGATCAATTTCATTGTCAATAGTTCACAAGGTTTTTTCTAGACTTAATAAATGCATCAAGTGAATCTCAAGATGCAACATTGTTAGCATGTTTGCTTGAAAAAAAGTGAAAAAGTAGGAAAAAATAAAGTAGTGTAATTGGTGATAGACAATGCCTCTAACTATAAGGTTGTGGGAAAACTTCTAAAGCACAAGATATCTGCGGTTTATTGGACTCCATGTGTTGCACATTGTTTGGACTTAATGTTGGAGGATATTGGGAAATTATTCGATTTCAAGTCCTAAACTGAAATAGTGAGGTGTGTCGCTACTTTCATTTATCGGCATACGGGGATTCTCCATTCAGTAAAGAACAAAGGATTGGTGTGAAGGCTCTAGTGAGTTCTAGAGCTACTAGATTTGCAACAACGTTTCTCACTTTGCAATCTCTATATAAACACCAGAGACGCACTGCGAAGTCCATTTAGCTCTTTGGATCTAAACTGGACGCCACATAAGAGGGAAAGAAGGTAAACGATATTGTATATCTACTAAGTTCTCGAGTGGAGTGAAAGAATGTATAAGAGTTTCACAAGTCTCGATCAATCCATCCATCTAACATAAGTGTGTACCCGTATTCCTTCCAAGTAATCTCGTGTTTCTCTCCTAGTTTCTCAGTCTCATTGTTCACTTTTTCAAGAAGTGAGACATGCAACTCATGATAACTAGGAGGTTTAAGTTCCGGTCCAAGCTGCCAATTGACTCCACATAATCTCATAGCTCCTGGAGTTTGCTGCATTGAAAGGAATGTCGTTTTCATAAAGAAAAATCAGCAATGTGCATAAAGACCCTATCTTTTTCCTCTTTTCTCTGTGTACAATGTTGTACTACCTCCGTCCCAATTTGATTTGCAATTTTGACTTTTCTTGGTCAAATAGTTTCATTTTATTTGCTTAATTAGGATGTCAATTTTTAATTATATTCTAATTTGGAGTTTACAACTTTGAAGAGATTTTAATATAGTTTCCGAATATGTAAATTGTAATTATTAAAAATAGAATTACTTATCGATTGCGAGCATTGACTTTTATTATTGGTTGACCAAAAAATGTTGATTTTGCAAAACAATTTGGGACGGAGGGAGTAGTATACTTTGTGTGGGGCCTTTCGCATATCTTTCATCATTAACCTCCTCAAAAGTTTTGCAAAATGATAGAAGCTACTGACTTGTTTTGTTTTGGCATTTTTGGTGGGCATCAAAGAATTGTTAAACTGTATTTTTTCTTTCGGTAGTTGTCACATAACTTGGTTGAGAAGTGGAACTCTTAGACGACCCTATTTGGGTCAAAGATACTTCTTCAACATTGTCGTCATCCTCAAATATGGACCGGTTTATTCCTTGATTTCTTCATTAAATATTCTCACATCTCCCCCATAAGTTTTGTTGTCGTATGAGGACATTTTACAACATCTACATACCTGCAAGTTAATTGTTGCTCCAATTTCTTTATGCCAGAGCGCATTCGCTTATGACAGTGCTCACATTCGACTGTCTTTCTTGTTCAAGTTTGGCCAAAAACCATGTTTCCATCTCAGGTCATTAGATTTTGCTCATCTAGTGGGATCATTATGATGAAAATTAGCTCTTCAGTCAAGTGAAAAAAAACTAATAATAATCTATATGAATTGTATAATAATAAATGATTGTACTTCACAAATAATTAAGCTATTTATAGTACGTATATACATAATCACATATATAATACTACATAGTTTTGACTAATAAATTAATATTTAATAGTTAATATTGTATTTGTTTAACAAGTAAATGAAATATTAATATACGATAATATTGTTTATATTGTACAGCATATACTATATCAAACTACGTGTGTGGCTGTTTGCGGGGGTTTACACACACACATATATGTGAATGTATACCGCTTAACCAATTACTTTATACGCAGTAGAAGGAACCTTTGTTAGAACTTAGAAGAAAACTCAAATAATCAATCAACTAAAACATACAGAATAGAAGAGATCTGGGAACAACCGAAGGAGTTCTACTATAGCGTGGAGGGTGTGGAGTTTGTTAGTTAGTCTACTTCCTTTAATCGGAGTTGAAATTGGCCTTCGAGTTTTGAAGAAGTTAGATGGTGGCGTCTTACGATACTTATGAATCGCCAAGTGAGAGCGTAAGATTATGGATTTGGTTTTAATAATACTCCTAAACTCCTGTTTCCAAATTTTGTTTTTAAAATCACCTAGGCTTGCGGTTATCTTTCTAAAAACTAAATCTGGTGATGCCTTATCAGTTATCACCAACTAGACGATGTTTGGGTTGCCTATTTTTCGTCCGGTGAGGCAATGAAACATTGCGAACCCTCCCGAGAGCTAGGACGCCTAGATGATGTCATAACATGTATACCGACGGTTGGAGTGATCCTCAAAGGAGATCTATAATTAATTTTATGGCAACTTTTGGAAGTGGTCCTTTGTTTCTTAAAGCTCTGAATTGTATGCGCGAATGCGAAGTTAAGTCAACACAAGTCATTGCTACCTTGATGAAAGAAGTGATTCATGAGATTAGTCATCAAAATGTGGCTCAGGTTAGCACTGATAATGCTTCAAATTGCAAAGGCGTGAAAAAATAATTGAAAGTATGTATCCCCACATCTATTGGACACCATGTGTTGTTCATACTTTAAATCTTGCCTTAAACAATATATTTGTGTCACAAAGAATGTGTAAAACAATATGAATGTTTTTGATGAATTTGAGTGGACAAATGAAATTCATGGCAATGCTATCCAAATAAAGAATTTTATAATGAATCATACAATAATGTTGTTTGTGTTTAACAAATTCATGTCCCTTAAATTGCTTTATGTGGTGGATATCCGCTTTGCTTCTATACTTGTGATGCTTAGAGGCTTAAGCTTATTAGACATCATACCTTGAAGATTACCAAGGCAATGCAATGTGAAGATGAAAGTTTTAAGTGAACATCATGCCTTATCTAATGATGAGTTTGAATTGGTGAGTGTGTTTATTACTGAATAAAACATTTACTTTTATTTTATTTTATTTATTATGCATGTAGGTTATCACAAGGACATATATTTGGTTTATTTATTTCATATTTTTTGGGATCTAGACATGACCTCATATAATGGTTATTATTTGTTTTTATTAGAAAAATTTCGATTTTAGTAAATTTTCAGTGCAACGTTTTCGTACTGTACCCGTGTCTAGTAGATTATAGGGGTTCCCACTTTCGTTTCCATTTCCGCCCGGTGCTACTTGGCAAATGCTTCTACCCTTGTGAAAAAGGTAGTAAGAGTCAAGGCTTCTTTCGGCCATTTTACAACTCCGACATGCTGTGATTTATCCTGGATTCCTTGCCTAGGCATTGAACTCTCCTTTGGTGACTAGGTTTTTCCCAGATTAAGCCCCCCCTCTCCATCCCAGTTTCACATAGATCCCTCAGAACTAATGCTATTCTATGCCGCTCTTTTAAATTCTGCACGAGGAGCATTGACTTAATATTTGAATATGAAATTTTGTTCATAGGTACAAGCACCTTAGCTTGAATTTGACCAATTCACAAGCTCTTAACTCTGTTGTTGGATCAGCATACTTCCTTGCCTTCTTTTAGTTTTAGTATTATTTGCTATACTACTGTCATTGCCAATTTCAATCAAATGAAAATTTCAATGTACAACTTGTATGGTTTGAAGTAGGGGTGTAATCGAGCCAATCCGAGCCCGAGTATGCATAAGCTCGAGATCGAGCTCAATACTTTTTTTTTTTCAAGCTCGATTTCGGCTCGAGATCGACGAGCTCAAAAAACCTAAGGTCGAATTCGGCTCGAGTCATTTATCAAAGCTCGAGAACACTGCTCGAGTTCGACAACAAATCAGCCAAAGACTGCCCAATAAAAATCAAGTATAATAAATAATAAAATTAAATATTTACTTAATACGGATGGCTACTAGTATAAGTGGGTCTGCTATATTGGCCCTCACATCCACCAACACGATCAAGTGTAAGCTGATTAGTAAGGAAGGAGATACTCTTTATTTATAACAATAGATGAGGGAGGCTTCACCTAGCCTTTCCGGTGTGGGAACAAAGAAGCAACAAATAAAGTAAAAAAACAAAAGAAAAAACGGCGTGCCAAATGGGAACTGAACTTAGTTTCATGTTCAACAAAGAAGATAGCTTAGCTTTGAGTCCTAGTTAATGGTTCCCTATACCTTTTTTCAAATTCTCGTAATTCATACAGATATATATACATGTATATATATATACACACGTAAAGGCTCGCGAGCTTCAAGCCTAAGGTAAAGAGGCTTGAATTGTGCTCGTTAAGTATTCGAGCCGGCCGAACTTGAGCCGAACTTGAGCCGAACTTGTTTATGACGAACTCGATTCGAGCGTTAACCGAGCGATCCGTGAGCGGCTTCGCTCATTTACACCCCTAGTTTGGAGTGTTTGGCGGGAGGGAGAGGTCACATATTTGGAAATGCAAATTGAGTTTGTTAAAGAGAAGGCTTTAATGATGCAGACAGAGCAAGCATAAGTAAGCAGGATTTATGTTTCTATATCTTCGCGAGAAAGTCATTTAGTTTCACACACACAGGGGAATGTCCCAAAAATATGCCCAGACCAACTGGAGTGGACATACTGATTGAAATTTTATATGATAAATTGATAGTCTATTATTATATCTAGAAAAATACAATGTATCCAACGGAGTGGATATGTGGATTGAATCAGTTCAGCTCAGCCCAGACCAACTGGAGTGGACATGCATATCCTAGTAATTTAAATCCATCACTTTGACTATGAAGTTGTGTTGGGATTGCAACTTCTTTGTTGTTCCTAACGGTTATTAATAGTTTTTTATATATCTCTATAGATGTATATATATTTGAAATCTCAGCTGGTTCATGTTATTCTAAATGTCATGTAACACTTTTAGGCACTTGATTGGTTGCAATCATACTACTGGAAGCCTCAAAGAGATGCTATTAAGAGGGATCAAACTACCAAATTTCAACAAGAAACAAGGGACAAATTGCATGAATTGGCTAATTGTTTGAAAGAAAAGGAAAATGGCACATTATGCTCTTTTACCAAGGAAAAACGTGAGTAAAAGTTCAATTTTTAAATTTTGATATAATTACCTATCCATTTCCTTTACTTATTGCATATTTGCATAAGCATAAGAATCTGAATGTTAGTGTTGATAAATACTACTTTTTTTTATAGGCGGTTTTGGTCCTTATAGTTTTGTATATAACTATTATAGGTATTGAAGATGAATCTGATCTCTACCTAACTCTTCTTATGCTAAGTGTGAAATTTCAGTGCGGTTAAAATATTTGTGGTGTCTATATTATAGACTTGCAATGTTCTATCTTTTTACATAGTTTCATGCTTCCAAGCTGTTCAAATTTGATGATATCTACCTCAAGCAAAGCTTTAAATTGTTACTTTTTGTAGTTGGTACCCAGTGAGTGTTCACATTTTAGTCAGTACTGAGTAGGTGTTGTAACTTGTATGTCCCTATGTTTTAATAAGGTCAATAGCCTTCATGTAGCCAGTCTCAATTACGATGTTCCCCCATTCATTTATTTTAGCAATTCTGATTCCTTTCCTGATAGCATATAATTCATTCAGAATAATACTGCAGTGAGGAGTCTTCTTGCAGAAAGCAAATAAAGTGTCCCTCACGGTTTCTAATAACTCCTCTGTCCCTCACTTCCATAGTTCCATCTGTATTATTCTTAAGCCAAAGTGAAGGACTATCCCAACAAAGATGGATAACTCCGTTCTTGGCCACCAGTTTTTCAGTTGCTTAATTCATTCCTGCCAGGATGCTCTCAATCTGTTGGATAATCAGTCTATTCCGCCACTTAGGATTGTTATGTTTGATTTCATTCCTATTTCTCCGAAGGGTCCAAAAATAATTGCTGGAAGACTTTGAATCCTTTGGTCCTTGGAGCCACCAGTTCATGAACCAGGTTTGAATGGTCTTGTTCTTCCTGATTTGGATGTGTTTCTTGCTGCAAAATAATCCCAGACCTCCTCGGCATGATCACTTGTAATGAAAGGTGTTTCAGTGTCTCTTCGTGATTGCAATCATTGCATAGCACACATTTGGATGCTAATTGTATTGGCATTCTTTTTCTCAGAATAGTATCAACTAGAATGTACCCCTGGTAGGATCTCCAGAAAATCAAGGACATATTAGGAGGAACACACCTACTCCAGTTATAATTGTTGGATTGCTGGTTGACACTTGATTTTGTGACCAAATTAAGGGAATTATATTGTTGTAAAGTCGCCATATTATTAGAATTTTTCCAGAAGACAACATACTCCTCACCAGTAATCTCCAGCTTCATAATGATGTCCACCATCCTTGATAGAACACTCTCTAAGTCTATATTTTTAGAATACTCCAGCTCCTGTTCCCCCAATAATCTTCAACTCTCTCATTTAGATTTTACCTCTACTTTGCCTCCTGTTGTTGGCTTCCTTGAGGTAGCCAATGATCAATCCAGAAGAATAACGACCTGGACAAATGGCCAAAAGCTATTATCAATCACCAAGTCTTGGAAGGACTTCATTCTTCCCCAACAAATGAGTCCACTTGTTTAATCTAAACCATTCTAGGATGATTTTAGGGCATTATTTGTTCCATGCTGCTTTCTTCCATGAGGAGTTCTGCATTCTAAACTTCTACCAAAGCTTTGCAGAGGACCAACTTGAATGTGAGATAAAAAGGGATCATTTTCTCTTTGTAGTCAGCTAGTGTATAGTTAAATAATAATTCCTCCGTTATTTTATAGTTGCAAAGTTTCCACTAAACTGTCTGCGCTTCTTTGTTATGAAGCAGCAGTCAGTACATGCAATTTTTGACGCGATTTTCACTATGGGTCATCCGGAAACAGTCCGTCTGTGCTTTAGTGCAGGGGTAAGACTGCGTACATCGGACCCCCCTTACCCCACCGTAGGTGGGAGCCTTTGCAGCACTGGGGTAAATGAAAATGATGAAAATGAAAGTTTCCATTTTCACATTTGAAAATGCACAGTTTTGACAATTAATATATTTTATTCTGTATAAGTAGAAAAAATCAGATTTTGGTATTGTAATAAGTCTTGATATAGTTTGTTATAAAGCCGTATAGTTGTTATAGCTGCTTGGAGTCTGTTATGAGTTAGTTGAAGTCTTGGTGACTATAAATACCTGTACTACTCTCTATAATAAATAAGATGATTTCATTTCTGTTTCTATATCTTTTCTAATATGGTATCAGAGCACTAAGCTCGTTCTTCCATGACGATCTCAACCTTTGATTCCGTTTCTTCTCAAACCCCAAAAATCACTTCCGCACCAATCACCTTCAATCATCCTCTTCCTATTAAGCTTGATTCGCACAACTTTCTTTTGTGGAAACATCATGTCAGATCTGTTATCCGCGCTCACAAATTGCTCAAATTCATTGAGCAACCTGAAATTCCTGACAGATTCATAGCCGGCGAGGAAGAAGGTACGAAAATTGAGAATGATGCCTACATCAATTGGGAGCAGCAAGATCAGATGCTGTTTTCATGGCTCTTAGCGTCTCTCTCTGAAAATTTGCACACTCGAGTGATTCACTGTCAACAATCACATCAACTTTGGAGCGAGATCGACAAATATTTTCAGGCAACCATTGTCGCTAGAGCTAGACAGCTCAAGTCCGAACTATACTCAACCGGAAAAGGTGATCGATCCATTTCCGAGTACCTTCTTCGCATTCAACATATTGTTGATAATCTGATGAACATTGGCGAACCTATTTCTACCAAGGAACATGCCAACGTAATTCTCGAAGGGCTTCCAGAGGAGTATGAATCACTTGTTTCCTCTGTGTCATCTCGAAGCATACTGGACCCTATCACTATTACAGAACTTGAATCCCTACTGCTAGCAAAAGAATTACGACTGAAGAAACTCAGAGATTCTTCTTCACAAACGCTGTTTTCTGCCAATACAGCCAGTACTGAAGCTCCGCCTCCAAATTCAGTAGTTATTTCTTCGGGGGTTTTACTTGGATATTACTAATTTTGAACCAATTACCCAAAAAGTGATCACTTTTAAAAAGGGACAAAAAAGTGATCAAGAAAGTCATATATGTGCAATTAGAAAACATGATGTAACTGCAAAAGTTTTATGTCACTGTGTGTTCATTTTTTGTAACTACAGCCACCGCCCGTGTCACTGTAGCCACCGTCCGTGTCACTACAACCACCGCCCGTGTCACTGTGGCCACCACCCGTGTCACTATAGCCAACGCCCGTGTCACTATAGCCACCGCCCGTGTCACTATAGCCAACGCCCGTGTCACTATAGCCACCACCCGTGTCACTATAGCCACCGCCCGTGTCACTACAACCACCGCCCGTGTCACTATAGCCAACGCCCGTGTCACTGCGGCCACCGCCCGTGTCATTGCCGCCGCCTCCGCCACCACCGGTCACCGCTGCCAACCACAGTGACACCGCCATATTGACACATTCAAAGTGACACCTCCGCAGTGACACCTCCGCAGTGACACCTCCACATCTACCAATTCAGAAAACCACCTCCGCCGCTGCAGGCCACCACGGAGGTTGCTGCCGCCCGGCACCGGCGCTGCCCAGCAGTGCCACCCTTCTCATTTGACTCCACATGCAACTTCAACACAGTCCACCACAGCCCACAGCCTACCACCATCTCGTCCACCACCGCCTCCATCCCCACCACCACCGCGGGCCCCGTCGTTGACCATCACCGCAGGTCGCCGCCACCGCCGGCCGCCGGCTTGACTCCCCAACCTCCAGTCACCTCCCTAACCCCAACCACCCCCGATCCCCATCCCCAAGTCCCCGTCCTGATCCCCGTTTTCCCCATCTCATCTCCCCAGCCCCACAGCACCCTCCCCCAGCCCCCGACCAGCAATGGCGCACTCCAGCCCCACACCAACAACGCCGCACACCACCTTCCAGCCTCGCCCCAGTCAAACTCGATCTGAAAAGTCAAATCTGAAAATAAGAACGAAAATCGCCGCCGTGGATCTGTAATCGCCGCCACAGATCTGAAATTGTCGTCGATCAGTTCCATCGTTGAAGGGATGAGAAGGATGAAGCTAGCGAACAACAGCGGCAAAGAGGAGAAGCGAAGAAGTTGAAGTGTCGCAGTGGTGTTTGCCATCGCCGCCGCGTCTCATTGGTGTCGCAGCGGTGGTCACCGTCGTCTTCGCTGGAGGTCACAATCATCTTCTCTGGAGGTCTTCTCACCGTCGAAGTCTTGCTCCATTGTCTCTGTTCGTGCGCAGAAGGAGAAACGAAGATGAAGCGTGCGTTTTGTGTTTGAGAAGAGAAGCGGAGGTTTTTTTTAAGAAGGAAGAAGCAGAGGTTTCTTTTAGAAGAAGAAGTCGGTCAGTTTTTTGTCAAAATTAAATTCAGTCATATTTTTGTGTGACCAAAGCTGTGAGGTAATTTTCGTGCCATTTTTTCTATTTCTTCAACACCTACAGAAATTCCTTCTGCAAATATTGCTCAGTATCAAAATCAATATTCTAATCCTCCTTACAGGGGACGCGGTCGAGGAAACTCCAATAGAGGACGTGGTGGCCGATATGGAGGTCGGAACACCATTACCTGTCAAGTTTGTGGGAAGTCTGGTCATCATGCCCTAAACTGCTATCATAGGTATAATCCTGCATATGCTGCTCCTCTTCCAAACTACTCTAACCCTAATCCTGCACCTCCAACTATCTGGAATCAACAATCACCATCCTCTTCTTCAAACACCTATCCAAACCAACAAACTGTCTACTCTAACTACCCAAATCAGATATGGAATCATCAATCTCCTCAACTACCTTCCTTCAGACCACACGCCTACCCTTCAGAATCTGCCAGCTACAATCAGCAACCTCTAAAGTCTAAACCATGTTCCAACTGCAGCTGTGGCATCTATTCATTCATCTGTGCTTGGACCACGGCCCTCATCCCAGTATTGGTTCCCTGATTCAGGAGCCACTCATCATGTGACTGCAGACCCACTGAATCTTCAACACAGTGAGCCCTATGCTTCAACTGATAAGCTTTTTATGGGTAATGGACAAGGTGTGGATATACAGTCTATTGGTTACTCTTCCTTTCCCTTTCCTTATCATTCTTCCACACTTCTTTCACTAAATAACATTCTGCATGTACCTTCCATTACCAAGAACCTTTTAAGTGTAAGTCAATTTGCCAAAGACAACAAGGTTTTCTATGAGTTCTTTCCTCATGATTGCTTTGTGAAATCACAGGTTTTTAGGAAGGTTTTATTGCATGGAACCCTTGGTGAGGATGGTCTTTACAAATTTCAAATCTCACCTGCTATTGGTTCATCCAAGTCTGTTCCAGTTCCATACTCATCTCAGTCTGCCAACATGTCTTCCTGTTTATCTACCTGTAATCAGTCACTATCATGCAATAAATCTCAGTCTTATAGTCAAACATTTGATTGTAATGTGTGGCACTTAAGACTAGGGCATCCTCATCTTGAGGCTTTGAAATCTGTACTCAAATATTGTAATATTCCCACAATTAATAAAAATCATGTTGAGTTTTGTTCTGCTTGTTGTCTTGGCAAAGCACACAGACTACCTTCACACACATCAATCACTCAATTTCATTCTCCTTTTGAGCTCATATTCACTGATTTATGGGGACCAGCTCCAATGTTATCATTTGATGGCTACTCTTATTACATTGCCTTCATAGATGCATTCACAAGATACACTTGGATTTATTTCCTTAAAAAGAAATCGGATGCACTCACAGCTTTTCAAAATTTCCATCAATATGTCCTTACTCAATTTTCTGCATCCATTAAATCTGTCCAGTCAGATTGGGGGGGTGAATTCAGATCCTTCACTCAATTTCTCATAGAAAAAGGAATCACACACAGAGTTATATGTCCCCACACACACCATCAATATGGTGTTGTGGAAAGGAAACATCGTTCAATAGTTGAAAAAGGACTTTCACTTCTTGCTCACTCCTCTTTAACGGAACACCTTCCAAGTCCATTCACAATCTCAGTCCTTATTTCAAACTTTTTGGATCTCAACCAGATTATTTCTTTCTCAAAGTGTTTGGTTGTTCATGTTATCCCTTCTTAAGGCCTTACAATAAACACAAAATGGATTTCCACTCTGAAGAATGTATCTTACTAGGCTATTCCTCTCAGCATAAAGGCTATAAGTGCCTATCTTCATCTGGCAGGATCTACATCTCCAAAGATGTCATCTTTAATGAGTCCAAATTTCCTTATTCAAGCCTTTTTCCATCTGAAAATAACAGTTCAAACTACACTTCCTCCATAACAACTGCTCCTATCACTGTCCTTTCTTCACCCTCCTCAAACCCACCTACCACTTCTTCCTCTTCACAATCTTCACCATCACAGACCTCCAACAATCAGAATTCTCATCATTCCTCCAATACTCAGAACACTCAGCATTCTCATCATTCTTCTAACAATCAGAATAATTATCATCTTTCTAACACTCACAACTCTCATAATTCTACACTCCTACCTATTCAATTTGGTCAACCTTCACCCACAGGTTCATCCTCCTCTTCTGATACATCATCTCCCTCTACTCATTCCCCATCACCTCCCCCTATCACTAACACTCATCCTATGACCACTAGAGCCAAATATGGAATTGTAAAATCAAGACTGAATCCTACTTTGCTATTATCCCATACTGAGCCTAACTCAGTTAAGCAAGCTCTTTCATCTCCAAGTTGGTTTGCAGCAATGAAATCTGAATATGATGCCTTGATAAAGAATCAGACATGGACTTTAGTTCCTCTACCACCAGACAAGCAGGCAGTAGGTTGCAAATGGGTGTTTAGAGTTAAGGAAAACCCAGATGGTTCCTTAAATAAATTCAAAGCAAGACTAGTGGCAAAGGGTTTTCATCAAAGATATGGGTTTGATTTTGGTGAAACATTTTCACCAGTAGTTAAGCCAGTTACTATCAGGGTTCTTCTTACACTTGCAGTTTCCCATCACTGGACTATTCAGCAACTCGATGTAAACAATGCCTTTTTAAATGGGGAATTGGAAGAAGAGGTTTACATGGTGCAACCTCCAGGATTTAAGGATAAAGACACTTCTCTTGTCTGCAAACTACACAAGTCACTTTATGGGCTCAAACAAGCTCCAAGAGCTTGGTTTCAGAAACTTACTTCTGTCTTATATCAAGCTGGTTTCAAACAGAGCAAGTGTGATCCCTCTCTTCTCATCTATCAGAATTCTGGAACCCAAATCTACATTCTTATGTATGTTGATGACATCCTGGTCATTGGTAATAAACCTACTGCTGTTCAACATCTTATCCAGAAACTGCACTCCTCATTTTCTCTAAAGAATCTAGGGGAAATTGATTACTTCCTAGGGATAGAAGTTAGAAAGCTTCCAAATGGAAGTCTTCATCTATCTCAAACTAAATACATTAGAGACCTACTTTATCAAGTTGGCATGTCAGATTCAAAAGGAGTTAAAACTCCTATGGTTAGTAGTTGCAAGCTTACCAATCAAGGAAGTGAACCATTATCTGATTCTTCCACCTACAGGTCTATTGTTGGAACACTGCAGTATGCTACTTTGACAAGACCTGAAATAAGTTTTGCAGTAAACAAGGTTTGCCAGTTCATGGCTACACCTACACAAGAGCATTGGAAAGCTGTCAAACATATTCTAAGATATCTTTCTGGCACTATCACTCATGGCATCATCATCAAACCTATTTCACTAAGTGGCCTCTCTCTACCCATTTCAGCCTTCTGTGATGCTGATTGGGCCTCTGATCCAGTTGACAGAAGGGTCTACATCTGGGTCTTGCATTTTTCTTGGATCTAATATCATCTCTTGGTGGTCCAAGAAGCAGCAGCGTGTTGCCAGATCCTCAGCAGAAGCTGAGTACAGGAGTCTAGCAGATACCACATCTGAGTTGCTATGGGTTCAATTCTTGCTTCAAGAACTTCAAATTCCACTTCAGACTCCCAGAGTGTACTGTGATAATCTCAGTATAGTACAACTAGCTCATAATCCAGTTCTTCACTCTCGAATAAAACACAATAACACATGGAAATTGATCTCTTCTTTGTAAGAGAAAAGGTTCAGTCCAAGCAGCTTGCAGTGTATCCAAATCCATTATCACAAAGCCATTATCAGCCTCCTCGTTTCTTGATTTAAGAACCAAACTTAGTGTGATTGAATGTCCAAATCAATCAGCCTAAGTTTGAGGGGGGAATGTTAGGAATATTGTACATATTGGTATTGTAATAAGTCTTGATATAGTTTGTTATAAAGCCGTATAGTTGTTATAGCTGCTTGGAGTCTGTTATGAGTTAGTTGAAGTCTTGGTGACTATAAATACCTGTACTACTCTCTATAATAAATAAGATGATTTCATTTCTGTTTCTATATCTTTTCTAATAGAAATCATACAATTTTTTAAAAATTAAATTTCTAATACATTAATAACTAAAATGTAGTCAAAGTACAGTTTGTGAATAGTGTAAAATTCATCATGTCGCAACTAATTGAAGAACAGAGGTAGTATTAATTCTAAATATGCTTGTACCAAAACCATGTTTCAGCTCAAAAATTGAGTTTTGTAACTCATATCATGTCGTACATGAAATTTAGCATGTTTATCCTTGTAAGCAATATTCTTGAATCTGCCTCAAACTATATAGTTGTTTGACAACCCCAACACGAGCTGAAGCATAAGAAGTTGAAATTGAAGTCAAACCGAACTCGAAATCATGGTTGTTTGATTGGATTCAGTTTATTTGCATTTCTACAAACCTACACATGCAACATGGTTATCTCATTTTGAGGTGCATTTCATGATTTTCTTTTATAAAGTTATTCTGCTTTTCATTACCAAGTACTATATTGCTATCAGCTTGGCTATGATCAGTTCATCTCTTATATATGTAGTATTTTTAACTTTACTTGTAACCATTGTAGTAGTCTTCCAAGCATTCAAGGTTTTGTTACCCCCTTATATAATATCTTTTTGCCTGTTTGGTGGGGCACATAGAGAACAGACCAGTATTCTAAAAAGTGTTTTTGGTGCTGGATGGGTGCATATTCAGTTCTAGAGGCGGTTCAATTCAGATAATGCTTTCTACTGAAAACTCTGTATCTAGACTGGACTTTATTTTACAGATGCTTGTAATGTTTTTCTCAATGAGCATTAATTTCTGTTTTCAGGTCCTAAGAAACCAGTTACCAAATGTTTGAAGAATATTCTTCGGTTGTATTATTCGTCCTCTTCGGAAGTGGTATCGGTGCTTTTGGAAATGTTGCTTAATGCATTAGATTCTTCACATTTAGCAGATCAGCCAGATTGTGCTGCAACAGTCAATGGATCTCTTCGTATAGATGCTGTATTGGATTATTGGAAACCTGTTCTTACAAAGTTATCAAAGAAAGCATCAGACTTTCTTGTTACGTTTCTTAGAGGAATCCTTGAAAAAATTGAGATACTTGCAGCCACGGAGTCTCAAGTTGGTATGTAATTTCTCAACCATATCTTTCACATAGAAGCTTGACCAATACTTACAGTTGCTTCCTCTTTTGGGCCGGTATTTGGGGGGGGGGGGGGGTAATTTGAAGTAGTGGGAAGAACAAGTACTTTTTTGCGGAGGTATTTGACTGAACGTTTTGCCTCTCAAAATTATATTTAAATGCTGCCACTTCCAGTGTTCGGCAATACATATGGCTAGTGTTTTAATCATGCCCAAAACGCTCCTAAAAACGCTAAAATCTTGAAGCTGCAATTTTTAACAAACTTGTTTCTTCCCTTGTAATCATTTAGCACAAAACACCCCCTCCAGAAAAATGAATTTTCAACGTTTAAATATCATCTTATCAAACACCTAATAAAAAAGCTCTTTTAAAAATTTAGAACACAATTCGAATACACAATATTCTGGAATGCCAAAGCACAATCTCAGAGTGCTTGACCAAATATGAATAATATCAGTTGTTATGTGAATGTACATCCATAAAAGATCTAAATAATGTCTTTTTATGGTATTTTGGAGGTCCAGTGGGGGTGTGTAATTATACTGATATAATTAGATTATTTTACAGTGTGTGGATCTTGATTTCATAACTTTCATGCTTTAGGTAATGCAACCGTTTCTCGCCAAATCCAACTGCTGTCTCTCCTGCTTGAATCGTCAGCTGTAAATGTGAAATCTGAAGATTCTTCAGAGGATCTTGTTCTGCAAAAGGAAAATCTACATGCCGTTTTATGCAAATGTCTTACTTTGTCCTCTCACGGAAACAAGCATCTTATGTCTTCATCTGTTATTCTTGCAAGCCTGTTAGGAAATATCCCTTTGCTTGATAAGCTGAAAAGGCTCTCTTTGCTGAGTGTGTTTGAAGAGTCAGACCCACCTACTGTGCAATCCGAAATCTTCCTCTTGAGGCAAGAAGAGTCTCTTCGTCAGGCTGCCAAGAAGCTTGAATTGATTAAACTCAGGTCATTGAAGGGCAAAAAGGTAAATGGAAGTCCGAACCGTGCAGGCATGGGGATCCGTCGGTGGGTTGTAGTTGATTCTTGGAGACCGTGCCCCATAGGTATGTTGCCTCATGATTTTGGTTCTTCAGGCCGTCTTCCTATTCTTGATTGCATTCAAGTTTTGGAACCATCAAGCCCAAATAATAATAGCGGAAAGAGGGTGGCAGATATTGCTGTCGAATGTTTAGATAGTTCAGCTCATAAGAAAACCAGGGAAGCTGAATCAGAAGACAGGTATGAAGCAGATGAGAATCAGAACAAAATGTGTTCTTCGGGTATTAAGGGATGTTTGATGATTGGAGGTGAGTGGAAAAAAATTAGTAGTGATGAGTTGCTAGCCTTAGCTTCATCTGTGAGGATATTGGTTTAGCCTCTGCTTTCAGAATTATTGACTGCCAGCCACTCTGCCACAAGCAAATGGTTATACTTTGACCGTTTGGCGACCATGAATGCAATTATATATCTAGGTATTTATTATTTAATGTCAGTATTGATTGGTTTTATATTACGTGTATTTTATTATGATACTACTCTTCTGATGTCTCCAAAGATATATACTACGGAGTACCTCTGCCTCGTGCAGTACTTTTATAGCTGGTCAAACATCGTAAATCGCGTGAGAATTTGTGTACGAGAGTACATTTTTCTAAGTTGAGTTCCGTCAAATCTTGACATTCTACTTTACCCTTTTCTACCACATTATTTTTTATGGACTTAAAATTTTCCTCACTCTTAAATAGTACTCCGTATAAGCTGAATCATCCTAAATTTCTCCTTTACAGTCTATTAAGTATTAACCCTAGCCTTTCCATCTAAAATATTTTCAAGAATTTATTGTAGGCTCTGAAAGCAATCTTGTTTTTTGACTTTTTTCCCTTATTCTCACGTTTTTATCTCATAAGTGATACTACTTCTGATCTTTTAAAAGAACAAAAGTAAAAGCATTTGTTATGAGAAAGTGATTATGTCTTGAGTCTTTTGTATTGATTCTAATTTATGACATAGAGAGGTGGATTAAAGTGTTTAACTTGACCTATTGCAACTATGGGTGGACTCGGGTTGGGCCGCCCGGCCCGGAACCGGACCGGCCCGGTACTGTTTGGGCTTGACCCGGTACCCGGTCTTGGGGCCAGTTCGGGCCAACCGGAACCGCTCAACTCCTGGTGCGCGCTCGGGCCCCCTAAAATGCGAACCGGCCCGGCCGATTCGGGCCTATTTGTTTTTTGTTTTTTCAATTTTTTTGTTTCTACGGGGTTGGGCTGGGTGTTTTGGGGGGGTGGGGTGGGGTGGGGGGTTATTTAGAAAATCAAAAGAAAATAAAAAAAATTAACATTGAACCGGCCCGGCCCGGAACCGCTGCCTACCCGGGCCGATTTTGGTTCACCCTTCCCAAAGAAAAAGCCCGGCCGGGCTCAGGTCTGAACCGGAACCGGCCCGGGTCCATCCCTAATTGCAACTATTTTTTGTGAAGTATCAAAAGGACAAAAATCTAGGTGTATGGGTAAAAAAATCAAATGATGTAGTTTAAGAGTAAAATTCTGAATACTCAAATTATGTATAAAAAAACTACTCCATAATTGCTTTTATTCCATTGTAATTAATTTTTCTAACCTGAAATGCTTGATCGATAAGTAGATCAAACATGGTAGATATTCCCAAATCACAAGTGAATTCTTATCCAATTGAACAATACTAAACTTTAATGAAAATTCAGTCACATTTATATTTATATTTGCATTTACATATAGCTTCTCAACCACTCCTTTAACTTGCTTATACTTGTTGGAAGAGCAAAAATAGTTTTAACATCAGATTCAACCCCTCCGCCCCCCTACAGAAACCTTTTGTATTCACATGCTAATTGTTCTCTTTAAAATTGTGCAGCTTATATGGCGTAACATCAGAATTGTTGTATTTATGATTCATTGTAATTTTTTGATAGTGTACGTTATCTTTACACGTATAATAACAATATGCTTTTATTAATCTGATCTTATGTGAAATTTGCATTTGTTTGAAAATAATTATTTAAAAAATGTGCAATTACACAAATGTATTAATTATGAGAAAACTCACACTAAATATTTGAGAGAATTTGATAGGAGAATACATAGGATAATGATATAAGTAGATAAAGGATTACGGAAAGGATAATGAAATGGTAAAACAAACTGAAAATTATCTCATAAAGCGAACACGTGAGGGTTAATTTGTGATAATCGTATCATTCTTGGATCTCTTTAATACTTTGCAGGAAATATAAGGATGCGAGAAATAATAAAACGAGGTAAATTTTAAACAAAAAAGACTTTGTGTGCTCTTTTACACTATTTCACGGTTAAAATCAGGATCTAAAAGTGGTCATCAAAACATTTCCCTCTAATTAACCACCCAATGTTCTAAAAAAGGAGGGGTTTAAAGGCGTTTAATCTTGAGACAACACAAAGACACTCAGCATAGCTAGTAGATGAGCATGGAAGAAGTGCCAATTAAAAGTTGAGGCCGTAATTCAAGTGTGAAAAGCCGCATTTAGGATGTTTTTACTTTAACTCTTTTCGGTCCCAGATCAGATCAGACTTGAACAATTATAAAATACACGGAGATCATACATTTATCAGTCCAGATCAGATCAGACTAGACCAAACCAGCAAATATCAGTCTAAGTAAAAACATTCTTAAACATATTGTTTTGCTACAAAATATTCGGATCAAATTATAAAAAAACTTCTATAAATGTGTGGGTTGTGTAATCTCATAATAAAAAGTAGAAATGTGCTCCATATTGTTTTGTAGCTATGTAATTTTTAATTTTCTTACAAATAGTTTTTCTTGAAAAAAATAAAAAAGTTACACGAAAACTTGTATACTTTTTGAATATTTATTTATTTTCTTTATATATAATTACATAATAGTCCATAGTAATTATTAATGCAAACATAGAACCTCTTTTCACACCTAACTTTAGCCTAGGCGCCTAGCTGGTAACACCTGTACTTTGAAGGCTTAAGAATTACTCACGCCTTTTATAAAACATGTCTCCCCATGGTTATCAAACATTAAATTAAAATTGATAAGAAAACCGCACAGTCCCACTGAGGTGGTGTAACTTAGCAGACAAATATGTTAGGTACATGCCAATTCTTTGTAACTAGTTCTTTAGGGAAATCGTAAATGGAGTTCTAGTAATTAAAAAAAACAACCATTTAGAGAGTTTCTAAAACGTAATCTTTCCCGACCTACAACTTCCATCTTTCAAAATATGCATCTTTTAATCACTTGCCCATAATTCAGACTTAGGACTGAGCCACAATTATGCAATCATGCGGAAACATGAAAATGAAGAACTATTGTACGAATAATTGATATCCCAATTGAGTAAGCGGTCTAATTAATGATCATATGAGAGGTTTCAGATTCGAAAAATAATATCCATAAATTAAACATGCTCACGTTCTAATTCAATAGGTTTGTTGTCATTTCGGATCATAATAACTCATCAAATCAAACACTATAGTAAAATGTTGATTAATTCTTCTGTTTTTGTACACAATTGTTTCATATATCATAATTAGAATGTTAAAATCACCATATATGATAGTGAGGGTGGAGTTAAAAAAAAAGTGCTTCACCCCTTTGACTGGAGTTGGCCAAACTAATCAAGGTCAGCTCCTTGAACATTATACTTCAACTACTGGATGGAAAAAAGCCTTCATCTAACAAATCAAACAGCTCTCCTTCTTCTGCTCTGTCTCTCCACCATTGATCATCCATGGATGTTCTGCATTAACCAAATTAATCAGACTTAAATTCATTTATTATCTACACAAATTCTATACTAATAATGTGTTACAAAGCCCAATTAAACCCCCTTATCATTTCGTTTTCTTTTGCAGCTATTTTTATTTGAACGTGTTTGTGTTTGAATACGTTTTTGTTTGAATGTGTTTGTGTCGCAAATAAAATCAAAACAATAAAAATTGATTAGATTTTAAAAGGCAGTACTAAATTAGACCAACTCAATAAAAATCTATTAGAATTTAAAGATAGTATAGTAAAATTGTAAAACACATATAGAATAGAGTAAAAATATTTGTCCACATCTTTTTATACACACATGTTTTGTCCATGAATATAATATTTATGACAGAAAAAATAGTTGGTTCACCTACATGTATATTGGTGTGTATAAAATAGTGTGCATAAAAATATGTATTGGTGTGTATTGGTGTATAAAATAGATTGTTTACATACAGGTAGATATTGGTGTGTATAAAAAACGTGTACAATAAAACGAGCTCAATTATTATAAGTAGTATAATATATAAGTAGTATAATAACTGTCACACCTTCTTTTTTGTATAATGAGACAGATTTAAATTGAGATAATTAAAAGTTTAAGATTTGAAAAATTAGTTTAATAATGACTTTGACTTACTTAATACTTCGTCTGCAGATAAGCGCTTAGAAGGATATTTGCAGATCATCTTTCTCAGCAGATCTTTCGCGTCCGGAGAAATTGACCGGAATAACTTCGTGGGAAATACCAAATTTGCCCTCAAAACCGCCTTGAACGTCTCCGCCGTAGTCTCGCCCCGGAACGGCGGAACTCCGGCCAGCATCATGTACAGAATCACGCCGGCACTCCACACGTCAACTTTCTCGTCATACTCCCGGCGCATCAGAATCTCCGGCGCCACGTAGTACGGCGTCCCCACAAACTCCGACATCCGGCCGCCCCTGAAATCGGCGGCGTACCCGAAGTCGGCGAGCTTCAGATTCCCCGCCGAGTCGAAAAGCACGTTGTCGAGCTTCACGTCTCGGTGGGAAATCCCGGCGCGGTGGCAGCAGCTGATCGCCGACATGAGCTGCCGGAAAATCTTGGCGGCAGAGGGCTCCGGCATTGGCCCCCGCGAGACGCGCTCGTAGAGGTCTTCGCCGTCGCAGAGCTCGGTGATGAGGTGGACGGAATCTTCATCCTCGTACACCTTGAAGAGGCGGAGGATGTTGGGGGCGCCGGCGAGCAGCATGAGAATCTTGGGCTCCTGCTCCAAGAAGCGGCGGTCGGCGACGAGGCTCTTCTTAATGGTTTTGCAGGCGAAGAAATCGCCGGTGGACGGCGAGAAGCAGCGGTAAACCGTCGCGAAATTTCCGCGGCCAATCTCTTCACGCAGCTGGTAATCGGCGGCGAGAGTCCCACACATTTTAGTACACAGATAAGAATGAAGTCGGTGACGATGATTAGAGAAACAGTGGAATCTAAATACGGATTTAACGAAAACAAACGGCAGTACTAGATTAGTCGTGCCCGGATTAGGTATTGGTCTTAATTAATATATACGGAAACTCGTATGTTGTTTTTTGGACCGGGCCGAATCAATGCCCCAAAAGCATTTATGGATTTCTTGAATAAAATGTTGGGATTTTATCCAAGTAATTTTTTTTGGCTGGACTTTCTAGTAATTTTTTTGGATGTTAAATGTCAACATCCTTAAGTGGAATGAGTCTCGAATCTATGACCTCCTCCTTGAGAGTGTCACGGTGATGCTATCGAACTACAAGGTACTTGATTTTTATCCAAGTAATCTAAAACGTAAAAATAATACTCCCTATTACATTTTTCACTCTTGGATTTTTTCCCCAAAAACAGACTCATCAAGTTTTCCTTTCACTAATAGACTTTAATCCATACACCCTAACCGTAAACTTTAGGCTTGTACAGTTGTACGGATTATGGTAGGATTTTTATCGATACAAGACCTCAAAGTTCATGCATTTATCAATTAGGGACTCAAAAGATAAACGATAAACTCTATCGAACCTGTATTAAAATCTATCAATACAATGCTCAAGATTTTAACGCTGTTAATATACTACTTACGGAAACTGACGTGGCAGTGACACCACTTAAATAAAAAACTACTCGTAATACATACGGAGTATTTGTTAATATTATAATGAATGGGAAAATATTTAAACTGTTGTAAAATCATCAAAATGACATGTGTGAATGTCCATCCTTGTAATCAGGACACTAATCAAATTCCAATCCTTGTAATAGGACAGATGTTTAGGTTTAATATTGCCAGCAGAATGTGTAGAAATTCTCCCTGATGATTCATCACCAAGCCCAACTAGTATAAATAGGGCTTGATCAAACCCTTGTAAATTCAATTCAGAAATTCAAGCAACTTAGAAATTCAGAAACTCAGAAATTAAGAAGAAGTTATTTAGAGCTTTTTATCAATATATCTATCTCTTAAAGGTGTTCTTCATCTTCTTCATTTCACAACACGTTATCAGCACGAATCTGCTCAAAAGCTCTTCAAGAATTCATCATCTCCTGCAGGTATTAACATCAATATTTATCATACTCTTTTAATATTCAAATCAGAAAATTATTCTGACTTTTAAATAAAATCTTTTATCATATACGAAAAGAAGTTAAATATAGATATCATGCATACCTGAATAATTATTTCCTTTCATTGATCTTGATGTACTCTCGGACCTCTCGGTAAAAGTAAAAGAAAATATTTTGAAATACTTTTTGTATTTAAGATAGTTTGTAACTAATACAATGTGAGTAGTATGTGAAGAGAGATTGTACACAAACAAAAGATAGATGATGAAAGGAGAAGTAATAGAGAGAATTGGAGAGACCGAGATATTTGTTGGTATAATACTACCTGAGACTAAGAGAAGTGCAAAGTAAATTGGGTAATAGAGTTGCTATTACTTATACTTCTTTTACGTGTATGTAGGCTAGTAATTTAGTCTGACTCATTTTTGTCTATGTATAGCTAGTCACGGGTGAGCCTAAATTAACACAATAGAATAAAATAGAAAAAATTCCACTTTTGGTCCCATGACTATTATGCCACTTCTACATTAATCCCCTGACTTTCAATTTAACCAAATGTAGTCCTTGACTTTTTCTCCATAACCACCCGTCGTCCTTCCGGGCTCAATTCCGGCTAATGTCAACCGGAAAACAATTAATGAGGGGGCATTTCAGTAAATTTAGGTTAAAAAACGGCTACCTGATAAACTTTAACATTAAGTTAACTTAATGTTTAGTTAATACGACCATCCCCCTCTACCTCAAAAACCGAAGTGTGTTCTCCCTCTCAAGTCTCAACAAAGCTTCAGTCACCTTTGAAAAATCCTCAAAATCGTTCGAAGAATGAGGAACCGTCTGGACCGTCGGTGTGAAGGAGAAGGAACAAGTGCTGAACGGAGGTCGCCAACAAATGTTTCTGATAAAGGTAAGAGGCTAAACTTTTATAAGAGAGTGGAAGAAATTATTGAATATAAGGCTGAACTGAGGTGTATATATTTGGTGTTTGCAGTGTATGCACATGTTAGAGGTTTTATGTTGAGGTTCCCTTTTCCCCTTTTCCTTTTTCCCTTTATGCGTTCACATGGTAGGGTAGGTTTTTTTTTTTGGGTGAGATTCCCTTGGCCGGTTGTCTTAGCTTTAACCATTTAAGAAATGGGACCAGTTCACTTTTAACTTTACGCAAGGTTATACCCATACATGCTTTTCTTTTGTTTTTTAGTAGTATTTATCAAATATATTTATGGTGTTGTTGTAACCTATTAAAGACATTATTGACCTAACATTGAAAAGGCATATATAACACAGGTTCAGGCAACTGTGGAAACACTTTTACTTTGAGGTTGTTTTATGGAGGTAAAGTCTATGACAAGGATAAACCTGCATACATGGGAGGGTCAATCCATAATTTTCATGATGTAGAGGTTGATGAGTTCGGTTTGATTGTGTTGAATGACAAGTTACAAGAACTTGGCTGCACCAAGAAACTTATGACAGTGTACTCCTATTCCAATGAGGATGAGTCCCTAAAACAACTACACAGTGAGGCTGAGGTTTGGGGGATTGTGAATGATGGAATTCTTGGTAAGGTGGTGGAGTTATGGGTAGAATTAGAACCCAGTGGTGACACTGAAGATGATGATGACCCTGAAGATAGTGACTTTGCCTACAGTGAGAAGGAGTTAGAAGAATTTCCTGGAGATGAAAATGACTCTGATTTGGAAGACTTCATTTCTAAGGAGGCTGCTGAGTTATCTGCTCATGGAGGGTTAAGTAACAGTAGTGAAGGAGAAGATCACTTGCCTGAGGCTTCAATGGTAGATCCGGATCCTAACTTGTCAGATGATGGTTCCATACATGAATCTGATTCTGACTCTGAGAAGTGGACTAAATTCTCTGCCAAGACTGATATGAAAGACCCAACCTTTAAGTTGGGTATGACATTTGCCACCAAACAGGAATTCAAAGAAGCTGTGGAAAATCTTGCATTTAAGAATGGTAAAGATGTGAGATTTGTTAAAAATGACAAGGAACGGGTTGTTGTGGAGTGCAAGCATATAGGTTGCCCATGGAAGATGAATCTTAGAAAAGTAATGAACTCTCATTCTTGGGTGATTTTACAGTACCATTCCAAACATGAAGGTTGCTCTTGGGTCTATCACAACAAAATGGTGAACTCAAGCAAGGTAGCAAATAGGTGGTTCAAAGAGATTGAAAGTCACTCAAATTGGAAAACTAAAGAGTTTAGACAGAAAGTATGTACTGAAGAACGCTTCCATTTGAGTCTCAGGCAAGCTTATAGAGCAATAACTAAGGCAAAGAGGAAACTGCAAGGTGAAGAAGAAGATTACTTCAAGAAGATATGGTCATATGTGGCTGAAATAAGAAGAACCAATCCTGGGAGCACTTGTGTTGTGAAATTGAGTGAGAATGTTGAGGTGGATGGACAACAAAGGTTTCTGAGGATGTATATGTGTTGGGAAGCCTGTAGGGAAGGATTTAAACATTGTAGGCCAGTGCTTGGGGTTGATGGCACTCATCTGAAGACCAAGACAGGGGGGCAACTTTTAGTTGCAATTGGAGTAGATGCAAATAATAGCATCTTTCCACTTGCTTATGCTATTGTTGAGGGTGAAAGTAGAGAATCTTGGGCTTGGTTCTTGAACCTAGTGAAGATGGATGCTGACATCACAGAAGCCAATGAGCATGTCTTCACTTTAATGTCAGACAAGCAGAAAGGGCTAATTCAAGCTGTGAACGAACTACTACCAGGTGTTGAGCATAGATTTTGTGTGAGGCATCTACATGGCAACATGAAGGCTGCAGGTTTTACTGGCAAAGCTCTAAAGGATACTCTGTGGGAATGTAGCAAGGCATGCACTCTGAACTCATACAAAGCTGCCCTATCCAAATTCAAAGAGATTGATAGGCAAGCATTTGAGTGGCTGGCAGACAAGCACCCCAGAGAATGGTCAAGAGCACACTTCTCTACTCAATCTAAAACTGACATGTTGACCAATAATATTTGTGAGTGCTTTAACAGTGTAATACTAGAGGCCAGACAACAAGCCCTTTTGGTGTGCCTAGAAAGTGTAAGGAAAATGCTTTTAACAAAGTTGTTCACTAGCAGGACTAAGGCAAGAAAGTGGACCTCAAATCTGTGCCCTAGAATAGTAAAAAAAATTCAAGAGACTGAGAAGTTAGCTGCAGGTTTGATTGGTTATCAGTGTGGTGACAATGACTTTGAGATAATGGGATCGCATGGTAACCAACATGGTGTGGATTTGGAGAAGAGAACATGCACTTGCAGGCAGTGGGACTTAACTGGGATCCCCTGCAAGCATGCAATATGTGCTATTTGGCTGAAATTTGGAAAAGGACCTGTTGATGCATATGTCCACCCATGTTATTCTAAAGACATTTATTTGCAGATATATGGAGGCTCCATAAAGCCAATGGCTGGGCCAGATGAGTGGCCTTTAACTGACAGACTTCCCCCTCTTCCACCAGTATATGCTGCTAGAGCTGGAAGACCAAGAAAACTGAGAAGAAAATCTGCAGTTGATCTGAGCACAGATGGAGTCCGAGTAGCAAGAACACATATTAAATTGCATTGTTCAAAGTGCAAGAAGGCAGGCCACAATGCAAGGAGATGTCCGGACGATCCTAACATCAAGGAGAAGCTGGTATATTGTCCATCTATATTTTATAAGGTTATTTTCTTATTATGATATATTGTGTGTATTGTGTGCATTAACTACATTGTCTTTACGTGTTATCAGATGCAA